CCGAGACACATCAATTGAACCAACTACAGTTTTATTTTGGATACCAAAAAATAAAAAGAAGCTGGAAGGAAGAGAGCAGTGCATTGCACCGATCTCAGTAAAACCGCTTGTAAGCGTCGCTGCATACGTTTAGCCCTAGAAGGACGAAGAGGGAGACAGGAGACGGATGCTGCCAAGAGGGGTAGGCTGAAGGCAGAGCGGGGGAGCGATGCTCTGGGCTCTGCCTCGGTTGCGAGGGCACGGCTTTGAATTACGCTCATGTAAGAGAGGATCCACACGCCTTGCACTAGCACCGGCGCAGCTCCTCGAGGGCTAGTGGCGGCGGAGGCAGGCGGAGGTGGTGCAAGGGGATGCGACCGACACCAGCTGGCACTCAACAGACTTAAAAACCAAGAGGGTGTCTTCCTGACAGGGTGTCACAGGGCCTCAGGTAACATCAAAAAAGGACCTGCTGTATCTCGCTCCCTTCCACGGTTTGATTTCGTTACCCACACAGACAGCCTACATACCTGGAGGAGTTTAGGCCAAGCCTGTGTTTTGCACCGTGGGCAATCGCGTACACCTCTTCAGTGGACGCGGAGAGTAGCAACATTCAACAGGGTGCGCTGTGCGTGTATTTTGTGGAAGTGAAAATTAATTTTCAGGGGGCTGGAGAGTGAAATCCCAGGCTTACTGACAGCCAGACATGGGCCACACCACCTGTTAAAGGCATTTTTCCCAGGCTTAAACGTGCCAGGCAGTTCACTCCACTGGTCCTTCACTCTATCCTCTGTCCTTCCTCCCGGCCCGCCCACCCCTTCCCTCTACCTACAAAGAACACAGAGGCCTCAAACTTGCAAAAACTATTGAGCCAAAATATAAACAAGCAGTCTGGCAGTAGATCCAATTCCACCGTGATTCTCATTTTCGCATGTTCCTCCTGGCGGGGCCCTTTCCACAACCAAATGTCCATGGGTAGCACCGTGATGAAAAAACCCAACTTTCTTCCTCCAGAACAGTAACGGCCAGTCTTCAACAGACCTCTCTCCAGAAAGGCTGTGCTCGACATAGTCGTAGCCTAAAGCCGGGGGGGTGGGGGGGCGAGACACCAGTAACAAAAATAAAACCCCAAGCAAACCTTGACTATAACCGGACAATGCCAAGAGTCCTCCTCCGCGCCTCAGGGAAAAATGCTGGCTGCCATCCCACTCCGTGCCAGGCGTGAACTCTAATCTTGTTTATGACCTGCAGTATTTCGTAAGAGATGGGGGGTTTGGGTTGGTTTTCTTGCTTTGTTTCTTGTTTGCCAAGATCTCAAAAGGGCTTAAAACACTTAGGTGGAGAGACACAAAGGGAGCAATTACAATACACAACAACTAATTGGAAACAGTACTCAAACATTAGATTGGACCGGACTAAAGTCCACTCTGCTAACTGAATCAGAAAGAGACACGAGAAAAAAAAAACAACCAATTTTTAAGTGCTAACGTAGTAAGAAACAATCTTAAAGACTTGCTAAATACATGTGGGGAAACGGAGGGGTCCCCTTCTTTTAAATATATTTACATAATATTAAAGCTTTTTTTTTTTTTTTCCCTCGCCAAAAACATTTTCTAGCTACCCTGGGCAAAGTCCCCATTTAAATTAAGAGGTTAAGGATTTTATAATGCAGACAGACTGTTAGACCCGTGGCCCGTACACATCTCCCTGCCCTTTCCTTCCCTCCCTCCTTCCCTCCCGCCCTGATGCCTTTCCCTGCTTCCCACCACGGGGCACCATCCGTAACAGCGGCACAAAGCGGGAGGTAACACAACGCCGCCCCGACCCCGCACACTTCGTTACCACTTTGTAAAAGCACAAGAGACTACAATCAGGGCTTGCCTAGACACACAGACGCACACACACACAAAAAAGTAGTTTTTGCCATTTAGCCTGCTGCAGTTAAATGGTAAAACCGGACTGATGTGGACACAGCAATACCAGTTCAGAAGTGTTTATACCATTTACACCGCACTGGAAAGGAAAATAACTTATCCCAGTATAATTGCATCCACACTACAGCCTACGCCAGCACAGTATCAGTTAAAATAATAATACATCAGTCCCCTAATTGACAGAATTACACCAGCTGAACTTTTCTAGCATAGACCAGGCCTAAGACATGAGGTAGTGAAAAAGAAAATCAGGCTCAAGATCTTTTTTCATTCCATAGCATCAATATACTCTAAAAATATTCACTGCTCAGATTTATGGATTTTAAAAATAATGATTTAAAATCCAAAATTTAAAGCTAACATCCTGAGTCACACAGGATTTACAAACAGAGGCATAAATCTTAAAAACGCCCTTGCTCAGGGTCCTAATTCAGGAAAATATTTTTATGATAGAAAGCACAGAAGCATGTGCTTGTCTCCCACTGAAGCACGTGGAAAGGAAGCACATGGGTAAGTGCTTTCTGAAATCTGGGCCACAGACAGAAATCACGTTCTTTGTAGAATTTATTTCCTCATTCATTTCAGTGCTGTTTAATCACAAGTCATTCATGTTTTAAGACAGTGGGAAAAACATAGACAATGGAAGCTAAATCAAGTTTGTTACAACTGTTCAATATTTACAGCATTCATAGCATAAAACAGAAGTATTTTTGGTAACTTAAGACAAATACCTTTTTTTCTTTGTTATTAAACGTACCGCAGCAGTCCTGTTAAACAAACCCACTGTCTCGGATATTAAAGAAATTGTTGTTTACATTTACCGAGTCATTTAAATTAAAAATCTGTTCCTGTTCCAAACCCCACTCTCCTTCGTCTTCATCCTCTGGTTCTGCCTCAGACCCATTCCGACTGTTTTCGTACAAAAAGATCTGCTCATCCACATGAGCCGGGGCTAACCGGTTTCTCTTTGCACTTACAACGTTAGCAGAAGAACCAAAAAGGCGTTCAGGGAAGACCCTTGTGGCCAAAATACACCAGTATTTTTGAAGGACCTTTGGTAAAACTGGGAACAGCGCTAGTCTGTCTGACCACCACTTCAGCGGGTCTTCATTCAAACCGAGGACCTTTTGCGACTTGAAGTTGCTCAACTCCTCAACGATCTGAGCGTGCCATTCCTCCTGGTCTTCCACGCCTCCCGTCTGGCAAAAGATCTCTGCGAGCATGTTGTTGATGACACTGGTAGGAGGAGGAGTAGAGGAGATGATGATTTTTTTCACAGGGGGCTCTTCTGAAACGGTGAAGAATTTCTCTTCAGTCCGAAAGGTATTTTCTTTTACTTTCTCCAGCAGGCTTTTTGCTTCTTCCACCACTCTGTTTTCAACCTGCTGCCGCTCAAAGGCTGAAAGAAAAGGCAGTTTTTTGTAGCGGGGATCCAAGAAAGTTGCAACGTTGAGAAACATGTCTATCTCGGGCGTGTGCTGGTAGGTGGTTGACAGCTCTTTAGCGATCACCTCCTTCGCCATGCTGATTTCTTTCAAATCGTTCTCTTTGATGTTCAGGGTAGTATTCAGAAGCATGTGGAGAAGTGGCTTCACCATACTGATCGTCGGGTACTTTGAAGCAGACATCATCTCTGCAACCTGCTTGAAAGGCTGCAGCAGCTCCACCAGCCCTTCGATTGTATTCCACTCACTGGCTTCCAGCATGAGGTGGTGGTTGTTGCTGTCCTCCACGAGAACAGCCGCAATGACAAACTGCTGCTCCTTGAGGCGCTGCAGCATAGCGAGCGTGCTTCCCCACCAGGAAACACGGTCGCTTACCAGCATGCAGTGGAGGATGTTCTGCTGCTTCTGCTTCTCGCTCAGCATGTACATCGCGACCGTAGACTGCTGGAAATACTCCACCAGTTTTCGGCACCTGGCAAGAAGGCTGCAGAGCTTGGGGAGCTGAAAAGCTTGTTGTATTCCTGCGTTAAAAGTGTGCCCCAAACAAGGCATCTGCACGGGAATATCTAGGAGAGAGCAAGCTTTCACGATGTCTTTACTGTAATCTGTTGTAGCACCAAAGACTTTTGTATTGATCCCCCACTCAATGAACGTTTCATAAAGGACTCGCGTAATAGTCTCTGCGGTATTATCCTCCGGTACTTCAAATGTTTTTAAACACCGTGAGTTCACCGCCAGGCAGTTGGCAGGGCTGCTGCTGAGAAAATGAACCGCGACGGTTACGTACGACCTGTTCTGGTTTTCGCTCCTCCACATGTCTGTGGATATGCCACACCACAGCACCTCGGTGAGCTCTTTCAGCACAATTTCTCTAACGGCACTGTACTTTTCAGGAATAGCTTTTGTGCAGAAGTACTTCCGGCTCGGAAGTTCATACCTGGGGTCTGCAGTTCTCAAGAGGGCCTTGAAGGTGGGTTCGTCGACGATAGAGGCCGGATACATGCCCTCGCAAATTAAGCTGATGACTGCAGACGTCAGTTCCTGATGCTTTCTGTTTTCGTAGTTCTGGTAGGTCTTCATGATGAGGCTATCTTGAACAACTTGCTGCGATGACTCCGGCTTGATCTTTGAAAACGCAGTGGCAAAGGCTTCCCTCATTTGCTCAGTGTTACTTTTCACAAATTCACAGAATTCGTCGGGGTGATTTTTCTCAAGGTGGTAGGAAAGGTTGGACGTGTTTCCTGAATAGGCGATCTGTGCCATGCAAATACGGCAGTAGATCTTCTTCCACTGTAATATGCATCCTTCTGCATTGGTATCAAACCCAAAGTACTTCCACACTTTACTCTTTGCTCTCGGGTGAGCCACTAACTTTAGGTCTGATGGGGAACCTTCTAAACTTTTATTCTCCATTGCTTCTTGGCCACCGTCCCACCTTTTGATCCTTCACTCATTAATGAGTACCTGATAAAGGCAGTAAGATAAAGATACAATGAGAAAGCACAAGTTTGACCACACTTAACTATGTGAAATCAGCATTTCTGCGAACGTATCAAGAAACCTACCTTACTAATTACATTTGCAAATTTAAAGATGAGATTTGCAGGAAGTGTGTCCTACAAGAAGCCCATCGGAATGTCAAAAATTAAAAAGGGGTTTAATGGATCACATTCTGCTGTGAAACTGAGCTAGAAGACCTGAGTAAATCTTGTTTCTGGAATTACATAATTTTGGGTAGAGAAAGCGTAACCACCACCACAGGGTTGATACATTACTGTCACACAAACCGGTCACCTGCTACAGCATTTTCCTGCCTCTTAAATTATAGTTAGGGCAAGACCAGCATCCTCTTGCTTAAGAGTTACTGAACTTCACCGTTAACATTTATTTCAATTGAAACCTGATACTGAAGGAGCAAAGGTTTCATTGTTTGTTTGTTTTGAAAGAAGTTTTGTCAGCTCCATCTAACTGTTCCAGCATTTGCTTTAAAAAAACAATGTAACAAAAAAAAAAAATCTGTGATGCAAATTATGGCATTAATCTGCTCCTCTGAAATGCAAAGATGGTTTCGGACTGAAATAAAGGGAAAAGGAGCTTGAACCTATATGCCTCTGCACCTTTTCTGTCCTTCTCTTTCTGAAATCAAAGCCATCTCCTGAACTACCCGTTCACAATCGTGGTTCCTGGAATAACAGTGCATTATAATTACAGGAAAAGCAGGCAGGGAAGCACTAATAAACATTATTATTCACATCAGCTGCAAAATAATTTTGCTGTATTTTCTTCAAAAGGCTACAGAAGTCGGGAGAGGATGACACTCTAGAGGTGAGCTTGGCAATAAGGCAAGACTTGGCAATCTGAACCTAAGTATCTGCGCAGGAAAACGCTTCTTGTGCAAACAGTCACGTGCCAGTACAACTTGAGGCCTACCGCGTCCCTGTGCCAGCACTGGCAGCCGGCCCCCGCCAGAGCTGATTTTGCTACACCGAAAAGCCAAGCCACAGCACAGCACGACTGCAGGCCGACACTTCTCCATTTCTTCCACACCACCAGCCGAGCCACCCCAACAGCAGCAAGCCCTTGGCCAGGATCCGGCCCGGCCAGGATCCAGAAGGAGAAGGAAGCCATCAGTTAAATACGGATTCAATCTCCTCCATAGAAATCCAGGGGAAGAGAGCAGGAGAGAAACATCAGGAGCATCCCTGCAGCCAGCCTGAAAGCAATGGCATTGCTCCTTCTCTGCTCGCCAGGAGCTGCACCTGCGCCCAAGCCCAGAAATCCCCGGGTGCTCAGACAGGCTGGCTGGGGGAGGAAGAAACAATCTGACTTTCCCATACTGCTGCACGGGAAAATCCCCCCCCCAAATGTACGTGTGCAAGCCTCTCCAGTGTGCTTTCTGCTGGTGATGAGCATTCCCGAGAAAAGAAGTTTTCCCTCTGAACTATAGCTGGTATTTTTGCAGCACTTTCTGCATGTCTTGAATGAAAAACCAAAGACAGGTTTACCAAGACTAAACACATTTATTTAAACACAGCTGTTGGTTTAGAAGCAGAATGAGAGATGAAGGGCAAGATTTTATTGGATTTGTTCTGAAGATTTACTTCTGGGTAGTGTAGACTTTTTTTCTTTTCCTGGCCAGGGTCGGGGGGGGGAAGGGAGGGAAATGTTCTGACTACTAGCATGCCCTCTACTGTGATTCATTCAGTGCCTTCTAAGTTGCCAGGATAATCTATCGATTCAACATGGTAATGCTGCCTAATTCCAAAGATGTGCATATCAACAGCACCAAGGTACGCAATCCCACAAAAAGTGATGATTTTGAAAGACAAAGTGGTGTAATGTATAATGATGTAACCCTGCCACAGCATCAGGCTGTGCATTGACAAGATATGTCATATCAGTATGTATTATTACTGCTTTTAGATCCCTCCATTTCAATCCATAACATGGTGTCTTGAGGAGGTATAGAGGCTCCCAGTATTTCATTAAATCTTACAGTTTCCTTTGCAGTTATGTGGCAGTTCCTGAACAGGAGGAGGAAGGCACTGAAATAAAAAAAGTTGATGCGTCTTTAATATTTAAAATTAGTATGACACACCTTGAATCATAAAAAGTTCATCACAGACTGATAAAATACAAGTTATTTTAGAGCAGGGGAGTGTTACGGATTCACCCCACCCTTCACTCCTACGCATGTTACAGCTTTGCCATCAGTTTGAGATGGATCTGGCACTTGGCGATAGTGGCACAGGGTAGTGTTGCCACAGTTAAGGATATGCCAGCATAACACAGCCTTTATTATAATGCTGTAAACCACACTTCAGCTGCCATAATAGCTCGAATATAGACTGCTAACCATCCCTGCCTCTCCTCAAGGGTTATACAGCGTAACTAGCTGTAAGAAAAACCAAACCAAACCCCACACCTCTCATTTTGCTGTAAGAGGAGGTAAATTTTTCCTCTTTCAGTGAAAAAAAGTCTTCATAGCCTAGGCTTGGCAAAAGCCAGGGTAGCTTCAATTCTCAGCCAAACTGAAGGCATCAGCACCTTGCAGAATGAAATCCATTGGACACGAAGCACCTCATGGCCTTTGAGAAGCGCCGCAGCTTGTCACAAGGGCAGCTGATGGAAATGCTCTCTTTTAGCTTGCCGAACTTCCCACGATAAAAAACTAGTGCCACTTTGGTTTGCTGAAAACCTTTCCGCACACAGAAGCCTTCAGGCTACAAACGTGCCTTTTCCTTTCTCCCTTGAATTCCCACCCACACTGAAGCGGAGTGCACCTTCGGAGAAGCTGCTGTTTTCCTTCCCTCCTCCGTGCAGCTGGCCAACACCACCAGCCAACATCGGGGCCGAGGCTTTTAGGAGCCTGCAGGCAGGATCCTCTGCTGGCCTCGCAGCAGACTCAGCTGCCAGAGGAGGAGGAAGGGCCCAGGTTTCCTGGCCCTAGCACCTCATCCCCGCTCTCCCCAGGGCGGGCTGTCGCTGCCACCTCACACCTAACACAAACACACGACTCCCCTCTCCAGGGCAGAGCTTGAGCCAAAATACTGAAACGCCAGCGACGACGCACCCTGCGGAGGGCAGCGGTGCTACCCTTGCACCAGGCAGGGCTCGGTTTCTCGGTGGTGAAGAAAATAGGTTCAAAACCCATATGAGAGTCACTCAGATTATGAAACCAAGCACAGGGATGTGAGGAAATGTGGGGTGTGCAGCCACCCTGCAACCTTAGCTCTGCCCCCTTGTGCGCACACAGCGATGGCACCCTCCCTAATTACACGGTAGGTATCGTTGTCGCACAACCCTTGCCTCATTCAGCGCAGGGGCAACCATAAAACGAGCGTTTCTTCACTTCTGAAACTACCTAAATAACTCTCTCAGGTGCGTGCGTGGGGGAGAGGGATTAATTGTTAGATGCAACTTTATTTTTGCCTGCCGTCACTCTTTCCTACCTGGCTGCTTCCTTCTCTGCCCATCTCTGGGTGTTTTACAGCCCAGAGCTCGTAGAGCGTTGAGCAGGAATCGCTCGGGCTATCATTACGCTTTACCCACAAGAAGTAAAAGCCCTCAATACATGAATCAAAATGAAGAGATGCATATTCCCAATTTAATATTTCGCAGTCAATTGCAAAGAAACTTGGTACAAATGATGATACGGAATAACTAGAAATTGGGGCAAATTAAAAATACGTATGAAATTTCAAACGCTTTTAGAAGAACAGGAGCCAGCTTTAAGGTCTTCTGAACTTCAGCCACATTAGCACCTTCTTCAGAGCCAGTTTGCTAAACATCACAGCTACCAGACTGAACTACAAAGACTTCAAGACGACAAAACATTCAGCATTTACCCTTCCCCTACCAAACTTCAATGGAACTTGTACAGTGGAAGGGGAAAATGCAGGAGGAAGATGCCAAATAAATTCCTCGAGAAGCTTTTAAAATACCAAAAGAGATTATCATTATTATTATTATTATTATTATATGAACCATATTTACTATCGGGTGACTTTGTGTGACCATATTTTCAGTGTTAATATCCTGGTGTGATAATTCATATTACTTTGTCTTTTATCAATCCGCTGATTAGATTTTTGTTTTCAAAAAGCTTTGTTGATATCAAGATCTTTAGTCATGCACGGCTTTTTTTTTTTTTTTTTCAATTAATTAAGATTAAGCACTGTAAAGAAAACGTCCAAGCAGTAATTTCTAATGGAAGCATTAATTGTTTAGACCACTGAACACTAACACAGGTTACACTACGTATCGGCAGTTATCTATCTCTCTCATACTTGAAAAAGTATTTTAACAGAAGTTAAACATACATTCCCCTTTACTTCTGCACACTGATTATAGTTAGCGAAGCAATCACTGGCTGCACCCCGCTTATCCTCCCAGCTCTGCATTTCCCTTCCCTAAGCATCAAGATCGGAATTTCAGACCAACTTGCCTGCTCTGTACTGGGGGGGCGGGGGGAGGCTCACTTTGGTAGTGAATATTAGTATCTCTCTTTTCGGTCTGCAACTCAAAACAAGTACCAAGCTTTTGCACTGAATCTAGATTTCAGAACTCAAACTGCCCTCTTTCCTCCAAAAAACTGGTTTGAACCCCATCTATAAAAATTACGTGAAGGCCAATAGGATGTGACAGAACAGACAGTCACTTTCAAAAGCCAGGCACATGTGCCAAGAGCATGCAACTCTTGACTAACTTAGGGTAAAGGAAAACGAAAGTAACTTGGTTTACTTTGGATTGAAATCCTGAACACTTCTTCCCGGCAAGTGCAGGGAAGGAAGCTTTTCTTGGGAGATCTGGAAGCAGTAGGGCTGCACTGACATCAGACCCCTTCGCTCGCCCGCAGCGCTCAAGGATGAGAGACCGGGCATCCCTCTCTTTTAAACCTTCCACGGGAGAGCTGCACCGCTGCTGCACGAGGAGTGGGAACGCTGACGGCGGGGGAACCAGGGCCAGGGAGACAGGATCGGAGGCACGGCCGACTCCGTCGCCCTGCTCTTCCCAGCCCCGCTTCCCCCCTCCGGGCTCTCCCAGGGAAGGCACCCTGACAATGGAACGCCTGCACCTGTGAGAGTTACAGACACCCCCTCAAAAAAGACATAGGAAATTTTAAACATACGCACCTTTCTAGATTACTGTCTGGAAAAGTTACTTGGTGTTTTCTTACAGCAAGTGCAGTTTATTGATCCAAGCTTTAATTAGGCACATTCTAACCAACACTTTCACTTTTTGTTGCACTGCAGTCATTATTTTGAAGTTATTATGGCAATGAGGTTACTCTGAGCAAAAAAGTCCCCATTGACAAGCTGATCCACTTTTTTTTAAGCAATGCTGGACACAGCCAGTCGAAGCGAGGCAGCAGGTAGCTGCTAAGAGGCAACCGGGCACAAACAACTCTCTGCAGAGGAAACTGCTTGTCCTGGGAAGAAGCCACCTCGAGTTAGGGCTGAAAGAAAACTTTCCACGTCTGTCAGATCTGCCCTGGTCCTACTCCGGCAGCTGACATTTCCCAGGTTGGATCTTCACTGCCTTCCTCCGGAATTTCCAAATTCAACACTTTTTTTTTTTTTTTTTTTTAATAGCAGCTAAGAACAGACTGCAACAAAACAGTCGAGTCACATTTCTGTCATGCTGTTTCTCTGTGGTTCGAAAAAAGATTTGGAAAGTGTTACGCACCCTAGGCAAAATACTCAGCTTTGCTCTGCTGAGAAAAACTAACGCTAGAAAAATGCTCAGATGACTTCAAACTGTCGGCACATCTGCCCTCTTTGTCACCGGGGTTCTCTGGTTTGTTTGGGGGTTTTATCTCTGCCTTTTGAGAACGAGAAAGGAGAATCCCAGCCTATCGCAGAAGGATCGGGAAGGAATAAAAAGTAGACAAAATGCTACCCAAGGGATGCCACGTGTGATGAAGCGCAGAAATACGCTCTTACTGTGTGGTGTACTTGTCCCGTCTCCTCCCCAGTACTTGAGATATTCTCTAAAACAATTTCCTCGTCTCCTTAACGAAACACTATGCCCTCTCAATAGATACGGGTTTTTTTCCTCTGGTTATAACTATCAACAGAGCCACCGAGGCCCACTTGCTGCTAAGCAGAGAAAGTTAGAGGCACTGACTTGCAGGCAGTCATACTCTCGGCTCTGATGATCACCCTACACGTCCGCCTGGACTCGCAGTTTGTTACAAGTTTATAAACTCAGAAGCATTTTAAAGTCTTCAAGAGTAATGCGAAGAAAGAGGAAATTCAGATCTTTTTTTTTTTTTTTCCTCAAAAACTCAAAGTTTCCCCTAGTCAGTATTAAACGTGCCGCTGGCCCAAATCGGAGAAGTGCAAAAACATAACTTCTCCAACAAATGACTAAGCTGAAGTCCCTCGGAAAAAACTACAAGCGTCACCCTCTTGTCAGCTCAAAGGCTGTCAGAGGGTGACAGCCGGTATCAAAGATTAAGCTTTCAGAGCGCGGGTACGTTCCCCTCCCGGAGCGGCCGGGGCGGGGAGGCTACGGCCTGCGGCCCCAGC